CTGCCACAGGTTGGGTGCTATAATGAGAGGGCCTCTCCTAAAAAGAAGGGGAGTTCAGGTGTCTTCTCATGCTGGGCCCAGAAAAAGGGGATCAAGAATGAAGAAGGGTGAAGGTAATAGAGAACAGGTCTAGTGCCTGGGAACAGAAAGCAAGGCAAAGGACTCCATTCCAAAGACCCCCAGAGTCCCAGGGCTCATCGAGTTCTCCCCATTTGAGGGCTGGCTGGCTATTTCCCCAGGCCCCCATGTAGAGAGCTGTATGTCTTTATGCTTGCCTATGACTTAAAGCAATATAGTGGAAAGAGCACTGACTTTGAAGTCAGGGGACCTGAGTTTGAATGATACTCTGTTCCTTCGTAACTGTGTGGCCCCAGACAAGTCATTTCCACTCTTGAGACTATTCCCTGGGGGTCTTAGATGATCTTCAAAGTCCCTTTTGGCTCTATATCCTGGTCAGTTCAACAAATATACCTTAAGCACTTACTTTATGAAAGGCACTATGCTAGGCTCTATGGTTGCAATTTTTTAAAAATAAATAATACAGTTTCTGAACCCAAAGAGCATACACACGTGCTCAGAAATCCTAAGTTCTGTAGTTCTGTGACTGGGGTTTGAGTTCCTTTAACTCACTAGGATTGTTTCCTCTTCTTTAAATGGGCTAATTATGTAGCCTCAGAGTGGCAATTTCCTTTTTTTCAGATGAGGAAACTGAGGTCTAGAGATTTGAAGGACTGGCCATGTTTAGCCTGAAAAAGAGATGTAAGAGGGATATGATGGTAGTCTTCAAGCAACTGAAGTTCTGTTTTGGGTTTTGTTTTTGTTTTTGTTTTTGGTCCTAGAGAGTAAAACTGGGGAAAATTAGTAGAAGGTGCAAAGTGGTCGATTTTAGCTCAGTTTAAGGTGAAAACTTCCTAAAATTTTGGGCTATCCTAAAGTAGAATGGGCTGCCTTGTGAAGAAATGAGGCTCTCCATCAGGGAAGGTTTTCAAGTAGAGGTTAGATTGATTAGTTTCTGGAGGAGATACAAGGGGTTGGGGTGGATGCCCTCTGAGGCTCCTTCCAACTCTGAGATCTTGTGATTTAGGAATGGACTTCAGAGGTCAATGCCTGTCCTGCCCTGCCTTGCCCTGCCTGCCTCCTCCCACACAGGGTGGCAGGGAGGATTAAATGAGTTAGTGTCTATAAAGTGTTTTGTAAACAGTAAAAGTGCTGAATGGCTATGATAAGGAATATATGAGTAAACAGGGATAGCCAGGTAAGCAGGTGTATAGGCATGATTGCTGACTATCCATTCCAAGATTGAGCTGAATTCTTTACTTCCCAGGCTATATATAGGCTTCTTATTCCTGGAAAGGGAGAGGGAAGCATATATAGGGTGTTCTTTATGGATCCACCAAATCCTGCATGAACAGGTGTGCTCATCTGTGTATATCCATCCAATCCTGCATTACCATGGGCAAATACCTCCTGGAGATACCCAGGGCTGGAGAGTGAGAGCCAGGTGTTCCCAAGGACAGCAACCTGGAGATACCAAGTGAGTTTGTTGGTTTCCAGCCATCACTGGAGTAGGGGGACAATAAGTTGGGGACATATGTATGCATTTGTGTATACAAGTCTTGCACATAGATCTAGACATCAGCATTAGAACAGAGCTTAGGTCTCATCTAGTCCAATCTCATTTTGGGGGGACCAGATCTGTGATTTTTTGGCATGGAAACTCTCAGCAAGGCAACTCCCTCTAAACTTAATGGTCTTAGAGAGTTGTGTGGGGCACTCACTGAGATGTTAAGTGACCTACCCAGGTCACACAGTCATTAAGTGTCAGAGGCAGGATTTCAACCCAAGTCTTTCCAACTAATTGGAGACTGGCTCTCTGTGCCATCATGTTGTCCTCATTTCTCTCATTTTACAAGTAGGGGAACCAAGGCGCAGAGCAAAAGAAGGTAGATTTTCCAGATCACACAGTGAGTTAATGGCAGAGCAGAGACTGGGTACATTTATGGACATGTGATTGAGTAACTGGTGCTAGTGCATGTGGATATCTGAATGCAGGTGCCTTCAGTACACACCATCCTAGCTTACTGAATAGCACTCTGTGCGTGTGTGTGTGTGTGTGTGTGTGTGTGTGTGTGTGTGTGTGTGTGTGTGAGCGAGCTCGAGTGAGAAAGAGAGAGAGGGAGGGATGGTTCCTTATTTCCCCTTCCCCTTGCTGCTCACCTCCTTCACTCCTCCCTAACCCTCCCCAATCAGTGCCTATCTCATTCTTCTATCCTGAATCCCATTCTGAGGTCTGCCTAGCAGGTGGGTAAGCATCCTTCCCTCCAGCCCAGTGCATGCTTCTCCCTGGCCTAAAGACTTGTCTCCCTTTCTTAGGCTTCTAAGCCAGCAGAGGGGGCCTGGGTTGCAGCAAAGAAACCCACTGCAGAGAATGGCTGTTTGGCAAATCAGCTTTTCAATTCCCCCTCTCACTCCTGGAGTGACTCAGTCCAGTTGGCAGCCCCTCCCAGCTGCTTTTGTATGCCCAGGGTAATCACAGCCGTAGAAGGGGGTTCTCCAGAGAAAGAAAGAAAACAAGATGGGAGGGACTTTGGATAAATGAGCTGGTCTCCATCACCCCCTCTCCTAGTTCACTCTCTGTCTCTGTCTCTGTCTCTGTCTCTGTCTCTCTCTCTCTCTCTCTCTCTCTCTCTCTCTCTCTCTCTCACTCACACACACACACACACACACACACGCATGCGTGCATGTGCACACAAACACACACACGATTCTACCCTTTTCTGTCTTCAAGAATGGATATTTCTTTGTGCTTAGAAGTTGACTACTCTCTCCTCTCTCTGCCCACTTGTTCCATCCTGGCAACACTGAAGTCCTTTCTTTCCCTACCCACCTAAGTCCTTTTACCTCTCTGGCACCCACAGTTCACTATCCATGGACTGTCTCACTGTTTCCAGTTGGGTGACCATGTGTGCTCTGATGCCTTTGTTAACACTCAAGCGATAGAGCCCCACACATCATCTTGGTTTCCTTACGGCCTGGCTAAGTCACCGTTTGATCTCAGGCAAGTTAATTTCCTGCTCTGGGCCTTAGTTTCCTCATCCATAAAGTGAATTTAGACCAAAATGGTCTCTAAGTTTTTTTCTAATACTATATGGATCTAGTTAGGAAGACTGGAGTTCAAATCCTCCTCAGACACTTACTGGCTGTGTTACCCTGGGCAAGTCCTTTAATCTATCTGCCTCAGTTTCCTCATCTATAAAATGAGTAGCATCTACCTCCTAGAGTTGTTGTGAGGATAAAATGTGAGATTTGTAAAGTGTTTTGCAAACCTTGAAGTGAGATATAAATACAATCTATCTTTATTATTCTATGTCCTAAGGTCCCTTCCAGTGCTAACATCTCATGTTCTATGTTCTAAGGTCATAAGATAACAGGATCTCAAGCTATAAAGGGCCATAGAAACCCTCTAGTACATCTCTTCCTTTTATAGGTAAGTTCACTGAAGTCCAGAGAGGCTAAGAATCTGTGATTCTATGATGGGATTTGTTCAAAATTGCATATTATTAAGTTGTTATTATAGTTTTTAAGAAACTGAGCTGGGATTTGACTCCAAATCTTGCTCGCTTTTTATTATATCGAGCTATCTTCCTTCCAGCTATGACATTCAATATTCTAAGTATTCAAGCTCTAACGTCCTAGGTTCTGTATTTCAACAATCTAGATTCTAAAGCTCTCATGCTGCAGCAAGTTTTGGCTTAAACAGTGTGTTCAGGTTTCTGCAAACAGAATTATGTGTGTCATTCGCAAGATATTTTATTGTTGCTGGCTTCTTCAGCCCCATGGATGAAATTGGGCCCAGAACATATGTGTGAAATTAAGTTGGGGGAAAAACTGGGCCAAAACAAAGTTCCCCCAACCCTCCAAGCACTGATTCAGTCACTTTAGCCCTTGATGCTCACAGCTAACAAAGCATATGCCTGGAAAGTGGGACAGATCAGGAAAGGCTGGTAAGAATGCAGACAGTCTGGTAGATTGCAGCTGTCTTTGCAAGGATGCCTTAGTCTCAGAAGGGTTATCTATGTCCATAGAGCCCTATGGCTCTATGTAGAACCTCTCCCTAACTGCTCATTGTCCAAAGAGTAAGTAGCTCCCAAGCCTGGCACTGAAAACCCTCCACACCCTGGCTGCCATCATCTTTTATAGACTGATTTCCCAATCCTCTCTGAACAGGAATCCTCTGCATCAGTGAAATGGGTCTTTTTACATTCCCTTTGTTTTGCTTTCCTTCCTCCATGCTTTTGCTTACACTGTGCCCTCCAGCCTGGAATGAGCATAGGATTTAGGGCTGAAAGGGACCTTAAGGCTTATTCAGGCCAATCCACTCATTTTACAAAAGAGAAAACTGAAGCCCAGGTAGAATCAATAGCCTGAGATCACAGAGTGGATCCCCTAGGCCCAAGGACATACAATCATACAGAGAGAAGCTGCAGTGCCCAGATTCAAACCCAAGTCCTCTGACTCCCAATCCAGTGTGCTCTTCTCATGAGTTCTCATCTTCACTTAGTTTAGTCTCTAGTAGGGAGGGAAGTGTGTGGGGGGTGGGGTAGGGGGAGCAAGCATTTATTAAGTACCTACTATGTGCTGGGCACTGTGCTAAGCACTTTACAATATTATCTTATTTGATCCTCACAACAATCCTGGGAAGTAGGTGCTATTATTGTCCCCATTTTACAGTTGAAGAAACTGAGACAGATAAGTTAAGTGACTTGCCCAGGGTCCCATAGCTAGTAAGAATTTGAGGCTAGATTTGAACTCAGATCCTCCTGACGCCAGGCCCAGAGCTCTATCCACTGAGCCATTTAATTGCCTGGTATCCTTCAGAGACCAGATCCAGCACCACCTCCTCTAGGATGCCCTTCCTGACTTTCCCTTTGAACCTCTTGGGGGGGGTGATGAGGGTGTAGCAGCCCTGACAAGTCCCAGATAAGGTAGGGGAGCCTCACCGGACAGGCCTGTTGGCAGCATCAGGGTCCAGCGCTGTTACCACACCAACTATGGAGCCGATTTGGGCATCTTCCTGTACTTCCATGAGCCCAGAGGGTGGCTGGAATTCAGGAGGCTCATCTACATCCATCACCGTCACCCGGACAATGGCTTGGTCCCTGAAGGTTCCCAGGTCTACAAATCGTGGATCCACAAACTTGTTCAAGGCTTCGAGCACCACCGTGTGTGTGGCCTGAGCCTCAAAGTCCAGGCACTAGGACACAGAGAGGGACTGGGTGAGAGGGGGGTTGGGTCCTCAGCAGGGACTTCGGAGCTTGGGACTGAGGGCGGAGCCGAGGTTCCTGTGGTGCCCTCGGTGACTGGGTAAGTGGGTAGTGCAGGAGTGGCAAGGCCTAAGCCCTCTGTGCTGCCTCTTTGGGGCTTTTTGGTGATAAGGAGAACTCAAAGGCTTACCACTAACAGTAGAATATCAGGCACTGTAAAAATGGCAGGCCTTACTGGGGATGGGCTATCAAGGAGGGTCCTTCTCTGGAGTGGGTATATATCTCCCCCAGGTCTAGGCCTCTTCTTCATCTCCCCTTCCTATGCCAACCATGGGAGCACCAGAGCTCCTGCCCAGGACCCCACTCAGACCCAGACCACCGACCTTTGGGTCAGAAGAACAGGGTTATAATCCCAGTACTGCTACTACCTTGCGTAGTAGCAAATTACCACTTCTCTGGGCCTCAATTTCCTCCTCTGTAAAATGAAAAGTTTAAACTAGAAGATTTCTAAGGCCTCTTCCAGCTCCAACAATCTATGGTCCCATTCAAATGTTACCCATGCTGTCCTCCGATTCCTTGGTGACTGGACATTCTGAGCCAATTCATCAGTAGATGCTAATGGTTAATAATCTGTTACCCCTCCCTCTCCACAAATGCTAACTGGGACCTTCCAGAGACAATAGCTTTACCCAAAGGAATGACACAGATGGTGGAATTTTAGTCTCTATGACACGTGCTGGGAGGGATATTCGGGGGCAGAATAGGCCTTCCCAAAGGCCCTCCGATAGCACATGACAGGGGGCTGCCTGCTTTGCCGATATATAGGTAGTGTCGGCCCTGCTGATTTTAGAGGGAAAAGTCATTACTGAAGTCAAAACCAAGCTTCTCCCTCCCCTTTCCCATTCTGGGGGAAGCCCATTCCACCCCCACTCCTACTAGCCTCTGCTCCTGGGAAATCAGGATGCAGGGAAGCTACTGAGTGATGGGCCTGGAGCTGGGGTCATCAATCAGATGGGGGCTCACTTTGCTATGATGCTGACATGACAGAGCAGCTGAGGGTGCCTCAGGAGCGAGTATGTTGAGAAGTGGCCATCTGGGGGGTGGGGTGGCCAGGAAGAATGGATACTCTGCCTATCGTGAAAGGAGAAAAGGGTTGTTGGGTTCCTTCCAGAGGAGGCAAAGATATATTCCTTTACCATTTTAGAATCACCTCACATATTTTTTGACTTTGATTCTGTATTTGGAAAGAACTATAGAACACAGAATGTTAGGACCTGGAACACAGAGTATTAGAAATGATAGGGGCCTTGGAACTTAGAATTCTATGATAGAAAACACAAAATGTCAGAGCTTGAAGGGATCTTAGGGATCACCAGCCTCATTATTTTGTCATTCTACAGAGGAAACCTAGGCTCAGAATGGTTTAAAAAAAATGACTTGCCCAAGGTCACATAGCTGCTAAGTTCCTACAGAGCTAGGATCCAAACCCGTGTCTTCTGACTCAATGGCCAAGGCTTAGCCTATTCTACCATGCTGTTTCCTCTCTCCTGTAGACTCCCTCCGACACCTGCACCCAAGACTCCTTGCCGTGTTCCTCCCCAGCCCACCCCACCAGGGTCTCCACCTTCTGCACAGTGATGATGGCCTCCTGGGTGTTGCTGTCTGTTGTGACCTTGAACGTGTCCCCGCCGCCCTCGTCCTTGAGCTGGTATGTCATGTCAGTGTTTTCTCCCACATCCGAGTCCTCAGCCTTCACTCGCCCAATAGCAGTGCCAATGGGGGCTGTCTCCACGATGCTGAACTGGTACATCTCTGGAAGGGGTCCCACAGAGCCCGTGAGCTGCGGAACTCAGCTCCAGCGTTAAAGCCCTTCAAGGCCCTTGCCCTACCACCATCCACCCTTTTCCAGAGAAGCCACCGAACTTGTACCTTCTGCTCCTTTGGGAGAAGGAATGGGGAGGGGGTAGAGTGATAGGATAGGGAATGAACTGAGGAAGGGGATTTCCATAGGAGCCGGGATAGTGGCAGGAAGGGGGAGAAGGAATATACTGTGGTGTAAGTTCCTTGAGGGAAAGGATTGTGCCTTATCTTTATACCAAACCCAGCTGAAAGTGGGCACCTAAAAATTGTTGGATTGAATTAAATTGGGGGAACCAAGGCCTCAGACTAAAAAATTCTCTGACAAGGAAGGCCCGAATTTGGAGCTTAGAGTGACTGACTAGGATATTTGTAGGGATCATAGGATGCAGAGCTGGGCAGGGCCTGAGAAATTATTCAGTCCCCTCTCCTTTACTTGGTAGAGGAGACCCAGAAAGAGGAAGCGACTTGTCCGACAGCACACAGCTAATAAGTAGCAGAGCAAAGATTTGGATCCAGCAACTCCGACCCCAAATATGGTGCTCTTGCCACTACCCCACACTGACTTGAAGCTGCACTGGGATCCACAAGTGTGTAGTCTTGTGATTCACCCACCACTGAGCACCCCAAGCTGGTTGTGGTAAGGATAATAGACTAGAAATCAGGGTTCTAGCCCTGGTTTCAGTGTCCTCATCTGTGTTCTAATAGGGATACCATGCACACTACTTACATTCAAAAGTTATGATGAAAATAGAAGATAGCAACAAACATTTGTGTGTGTGTGTGTGTGTGTGTGCATGTGCGCGGCACTTGGAGTTAAGTGACTTGCCCAGGGTCATACAGCTAGTGAGTGTTATGTGTCTCAGGCCAGATTTGAACTCCTGGGCCGGTGCTCTATCCACTGTATCACCTAGCTACCCTGACAAACATTTATTTAAAGAAAAATTATGGGGATCAAGGCGAGGCTGGTGCCATACTTGTGAGTCAGATGTGGCCCCCATGTCTGCTTTAAGCCTAGAACAGGTTGGTTGCAACCACAGGATGGATGGATGGATGGATGGATGCCCCATTTTACAGCTCTTCTATTGACTATGGCTGAGAGGAAGGAGACCTAGGTTCAATTTCCAGTTCTGCCATTGATTCATTCTGTGACATTGGGAAAGTCACAGCCTCTGTGGGCCCCACCTGTAAAACAGTGGGGCTGGACTAAGTAGTCCCTATGGACCCTTCTACTCTTTGTGCTAAGGTGCCTTCCAGCCCTAAAGTTCTAGTTCCAAGGTCCCTTTCAGCTTTGACAATCTAAGATCCTGCCTAATGAGGGAGAGGCTTTTGGCATTACAGGTTGGCAGGCATGGGTATTGGGCCAGTCTTTCCTCTGCCCCTTATGCCAGTGGGGCTGGCCAGCTGCATACCCTTCCCCCTTCCTTCCCAAAGGCTGGATCCCTCCCCAGTAAGCCTGTAGCAGGCCTGCTCCACAGCAGGAGTGCAAGGCAGAGATTATGGCTGGCTTCATGCGTATATGCTTCTGTTATCTCTCAGGGGTCAGTCCCCTGTGGCGGAGTCCTAATGTGAGAGCTCCAGACCTCTCATAATGACTCGCCCGATAGGAATCAGCTCACATTCCCACCGGCATTTAATCTCTGCCAGCGCCTGGCCGCTTCCCCAGCTTTCAGGCAGTGGCGGCAGCAGCGAGGGCTGGAGTTAAGGATGGAGGGGGCCCAGCTGGGTAGACAGAGTGAGGCTCTAGGGGAGAGACAGCAGGGAAGAGGACTGAAGGGCTGTGTGAGCTTAGAGAAATCATCTACTTCTCTGGGCTTCAGTTTCATTGTCTGCAAAATGGTCTTGAGGGTGAGGGAAGTGGGGAGAGATCAGGAAACAAGCCTGTGGACCTCCCTCAGATTGCTGAGGAACATTCCAGGAATGGGGAGATCCTGCAGACAGCATGGAAGAAAACCTGGCTGTAGGTGCCCAGATTTCCAGGGCCTAGCCAGAGCTGAGTCCAAAGGGCCTGGAACTCAAGACAAAGGAACAACCTTGGGCAGTATAGGGAAGAGGCAAGAACCCTGAGCTTGGAGTCAGGAGATCTGAGTTCCAATCCTGACTCTTTACCCCTAATTCAGAATGTGATTTTGGGCATCACTTCCATTCTTTGGACCTCTTTCCTTATAAGCAAAAGGAGTCAAATAACTTCCTTCCTGCCCACTTGCCTTTTAGGTGCTATGAACCTTGTGTAATCATGAGTGAGAGCTTTGAAAATCTTAAGTGCCATAATATATGTCTCCTTAGTGTCCCCGTTGCACAACAGCAACAATAATAACTCATGTTTTGATAGCACTTCAAGGTTCATAAAGTGCTTTCCTCACAATGACCCTGTGAATTATATGTGGGAAATAGCATTACCCCCTTTTACAGATGATAAAACTGAGGCTTATAAAGGGGAAGAATGTAGTCACACAAGTAGTGAGTGGCAGGTCTGGGGAGGAAAGGGCAGATTTCTTGGGCAAGAAGTGGAGGAGTGAGCATAGGGCTGGGAGCCTTAGCTAACTCTTCCTCTAGCAGATATCTGGTGACGATGCTAGTCTGTGCCAAGTCAGGCAGATGGCAAGACCTGGCTTAGCTGGCCTCAGCAAGAGTGATCAGGTCTCTTCCCTCCCAGCCCCTTCTATGCCTCGATGCCCCCCATCAGATCTAACCATCTGGGTCCCTTCCTGGGCAATGCCAGGGTGGGGTGGCAGTAGCAATCGTGGATATGACAAGGAGCCCCAGGACAAGCAGATAGATGGTAGGCTGGCCTCTCAATCTTCAAGTACTGGGGAGGAAGGAAGGAAGCCCCATGAGAGATGGGGTGGGGAGAAAGAAAGGTAATAGGACAAATGTAAGCACATTGAGGGTAGATACTTTCATTATTTTTTTTTTAATCTTTGCATCCCCAGTGTCTAGAGTGGTGCCTTAGACATAATAGCAGTTACTGAATGGGTGCTTGTTGAATTGAACTGAATTGAGAGCAGAGCTGGTTTGAGGGACAGTAAGTTCTGCAAATGGGTAGGCGGCCAACCAGGGTCCTTACTCTGTGGGAAGCGGGGTGGGTTGTCATTGACATCAGTAATGACGATGGTAACTGTAGTGGAGCCCGACAAGCCTCCCAGCTGACCAGCCATGTCCGTAGCCCGGATCACAACCTCATAACGCTCCTGTTTCTCCCGGTCCAAGTCAGCCACTGCTGTGCGGATCACACCTGGGAAGGAGCAAAGTTTCAGTTGGGAGGTAGGGGGCTGTACTGGGTCTCCAATCTTGTGGCTCGAAATCAAAGTGATACCTCACTGACCCCTCTTCCTTCTCTGCTCCCCCTCTGCACAAGGGATTCCGTTTCATTTGTCAGAGACTCTGGAAGCTGGGTGAGTAGAAGGGTGAGGCATAGGCCAGAGAGCTAAGACCCTCTCAGTCATTCATAACTATGGAGGACAGAAATTCATCAAATAATCCTGAACAAAATGCAGTTTTATTCACACATCACACACACACACACACAATCTCCACATGCTACTCACATAATGTACACACAACTCATACCCAGTAATATACAACCACATTCACAACTCAATTTCACACACAATCAGCTTGCACAACTCACTGACACATACCCACACATAATTCATATATAGCCCCATAGTTCACACATACATTCACAGAACATTAGAGATGGAAAGGAAAGGCACACACTGTGCATAAAACTTGTACATATAGCACAAACACACAGCGATAAACAAACACAGACACACACCCATACATATTCCATCTTTGTGAACAGTCCTAAGCCCCCCCTCCTATGTCTAGATGGATGTCAGAAGCCCCAGGTTGATCTAACTCCCATATTAAAGAGACAGTCTACATTCTATAAACTGGGCTAAGGCCAGAGCTGGGGGCCTCCTCACGCCTCCAGAGGATGATCAGCTTAGTGCTCCCCCAACCTGCTGAGCACCAGCTGGTAATGGGCAGTGCCTGGGGCTGGGCTCCCCCTCCCGCTACCATTCCTTTCCTGGCTCAGCTCTGACCCCTCTAAGCTGTGAGCGCCAGGTGGAGTCATGCACCAGCTGCCTTTTTATTTCTCCAATAAAACCCAGGCTCCTGGCTCCACAAGCTGGCCCTTGGGCTCTCCCAGGCTCTAAATCTCCCCCAAACGACCCCCAGATTCTCCTCCATTTATGGTGTTGCAGCCTCAGCCTGCTGGGATGTGGCAGCTTGTAGGAAGAGGAGGGTCTAAGCTTGGCCCTGAGATACTGAGCTCTTGGGCAGAAAGGGCTTGTCAGGAAGGAATAGCCATAGTGGGGAGGGCTCCCTGTTCTATCCTGAGAGTTCTCTCACAGGGTTGTTTCTGATAGAGGTTGGGAGGGGTCAGCTCAGGAATAAAAAAATGGGTAGAAGCAAGTACACAGACATAGGGGCTCATAATCCATTACTGCTCTATACCATTTATTCCACTTTATCTCCCATAATACATTAGTTTGTCTCTTCATCTGTGAGCTCCTTTCAGGGCAAGGACTAATTTATTGAGAGACAGCATGTCATAGTGGATGGGATGCTAGACTTGAGAGTCAGGAAAACCTGGATCCAAATGCCACTTAGCTGTGTGAGCTCTTAAATCAATTAACCTCTCTGTTTCCTCATCTATAAAATTAAGAGGTTGGAATTATTGACCTCTAAGTTCCTTTCCAGCTCTAAGTCTATAACCTTGTGGCTATGTTTTGTACTCCTTTGCATCTTTGCCAGGGTTTAGCACAAGGCTGAACATTTAGTTGATACCTTAGTAGACTCTCAAAAAGTGGGTATGCTGACTGACCCCAGGTTTGAATCCATCTCTGAGACTCACTATCTGTGTGATCCTGGGCCTCAGTTTCTTCATCTGTTAAACAGAGGAGTTGGATTAGCTCTCTGATTCAGCAGTTACATGACCCTGGGCAAGTCACTTTACTTCTAGGTAGTTCTCTAAGATCCTAAGTTTCAGAGAAGGTGCTAAGCTGCATTGGTAGAGGGAGTTTTCTCATCTGGGAGTTTCCTATATCAACGAAATCACAGATCCAGTCCCAATCTCTCTGACTGACCTATTGGTTGGTGCAGAGCTGAATGCTCTCTAGACCTGTGAAGGCCAAGAGATCACTTAGACTGTTAGAGCTGGAAGGAGTCGTGGAGAACAACCCACTTATTTTATGGATGACAAAACTGAGGCAGAGAGAAGTAACTTGTCTGAGTTGGGAGCATAGCTAGGACCAGCCCCCACATCTCCTGGTCCCCAGGCCAGTGATCTTTCCCCCATAATTTGGTACCAAGCTCTTCAGTTGGCCATGGGGGAGGGGGTGGCTGCTCAGAGTGAGAAGGCTTCTGTGGGACAACGTGGGATGGACTCCCCAAAGGCAGCTAATCCCAGGGGGATGGTGTTCACTAGTGGAAACCACTGCTGTCCTCTCCTCCTGAGAGAAGAGAAGAGAAAAAAAGGGAAAGAAAGAGGTAGATAGAGGAAGAGGGAGGGAGAGGGAAGGAGACAGGAGGGTCTTCTTGAATCATTAGCAACCAGTCCTGTCTCACTGTCTTGGGATGGGGGGTGGTAGTTAACTGTATAGGCAGAGACGGAGCTATGGTGATTACATATTTTTCCATATTTAATACACACACACATATACATATATACACACGTATGTGCAGCTAGGTGATGCAGTAGATAGAGTGCAGGGCCTGGAGTCAGGAAGACTTAGCTTCCTGAGTTCAAATCTGGCCTCAGACACTTAACTAGCCATGTGACCCTGGGCAAGTCATTTAACTTTGTTTGCCTCAATTTCCTTATTGTGAAAGCTAGGGAAGGAAATGGTAAACCACTCCAGTGAAATGACTGAACAACTATATGTGTGTGTGTGTGTGTGTGTGTATGTGTGTGTATGTATGTGTATATATATATACATATACACATATATGTATGTATGAATATATATAAAACCACTGGAGCCTATCCATTGGTGAATGGCTATACAAACAATATACAAACACAATGAAATGTTACTGCCCTCTAAGAAATAATGACTATGAAAAAATCATATAAGCATGGGAAGACATGAACTGAGGCAGAAGGAAGTAAGAAGCACTGGGAAAACAATATACAATGACCACAATAATGTAAATGGAAAGAACAACTATAGCAAGAAAACTGGGAGCTGCATGCTATATAATTACAATGGCCTAGTCTGGCCTTGGAGAAGAGATGAGGAAATGCCCCTCCCTCCCTTCCTTACAGAGGTGGGGCCCTACAGCTCTGAGACATTCTATCTATATACCATTCGACTCAGTTGAGACACTGGTTAGTTTCACCAAACTGGTTTTTTTCCCCTCGCTTTTTTATTTTTTGATTACAAGGGCTGGTTCTCTAGGGAACAGAAGGAAAAGGGATTTATTCTGAAATGAGGCTGATGTAAAAATAAAAAATATCAATAAAATAGAGATGACGGGGGAGCCAACCTGCTGGAACCTTGAATTAAAGAACCATTTAAGAGGTGGCCAATTCTTTCGTCCCCCCCTGAGTCACTCTGGCCCTCCCTCTCTCCCTCTAGCTGCAATGGAGTGGCCAGGCCTCCACAGGGAAGTCAGTCACCCGGCTAATGGGTCCCAGCACACACTCCTCTAGGCCTTAATTAGACAAGTGAATCCTCATTTACCCAGCATGTCCCTCCTTAAACCGTTGCCTAAGCTCTAGGGCCCAAACAAAAGGCAGAAGTACAGGAAAAGCAGGGAATGGAAAATCCAAGCTGAATTTTTTTCTAACATCTTAGATCTGCAGCCTGATTTAGTGGACAAAGCACCAGATTTACAATCAAAGGATCACAGGCTGAAGATCTGCCTGTGTGACTTTAGGAAGGTCACTTGAACCCATTTTTCTCTCCCTCCTAATTTATGACTCTCCTTTCTGTGGTACTCTTCAGTTTACCAAGCACTTTCTTTGTAATAACTGTCAGATAGAGTGTAAATTGTATTGCCCCCATTTTACAGATGTGGAGCCTGAGGCTGAGAGAAGTTAAACGACTACTAAGGTCACACAGATAATAAGGAGCAGACCTAGCATCTGAATCCAGGTTTCTTGCTTTCAAGTCCTTTGAGTATTGCACCACAGCTGATTTCCTCCACACCCCTATCCTCCTCTCTTTTCTTTCATCCCTCCCCCATCTTTATCTCTAACCAGGCCCCTCTGTCTCCTTAGTCTCTCTCTATCCATCTTCTGTCCCTCATTATGTTCTCTCCTTTGATTGCATCTTACTGTTTTAGAGCTACAAGTGATTTAAAAGGTACCTAGTCTGGTCATCATTTGAGGGAGAAGGAACTCAGGTCCAGAGAGGCCCACATAGTTGTTTAGTATTAAACTAACAGTTTGTTCTTGGACTAATTTGTTTTAATTCTTGAACTAGAATCCCTCCAGCCCTTAATCAGACGGGAAAAGGAAGAAGGGAAACAAACAAAAAGAACAAGGTGGGGGCTTCGGAGGAATAGAGAGTGGATAGAGCAGACAATGAGGGGATGATGAAAGGTGGAATAGTGACAAGAGAGAGCTGGAGGAGAATCAAAGATCTTAAAATCAGAAGGAATCTCAGAGTTATCTAATCCAGCATTTTCATTTTACAAAGGAGGAAACTGAGGTCTAGAGAGGTAAAATGACTTGGCCAACATCACACAAGTAATACGTTAACAGAGCTGGAATCTGAATCCAGATCCCCTTGCTCCAAATCCAGTAATATTTCCAATCAAGAGAAGAGAGAGAGGAATTAATGGAAGGATAGAATGATGGAGAAATCCTAAGAGAAACAGAGGAAAGAAGGGAAGCCCAGGAGAACGAAACTTTTCAAATGACATGATCAGTACACATGAGGGATCTTTTCCCTTTTAATGTAGTTTTCCTCCATTAGAAAGGAAGCTCTTTGAGGGCAGGGACTGTCTTGCTTGCTTTTATTTGTATCCCAGCACAGTGCCCCACCCCATCTCTTCTCTCCTTTCTCTTCTCTTCTCTCCTCTTCTCTTCTCTTCTCTTCTCTTCTCTTCTCTTCTTTCTCTTCTCTTCTCTTCTCTTCTCTTCTCTTCTCTTCTCTTCTCTTCTCTTCTCTTCTCTCTTCTCCTCCTCCTCCCCTCCTCCTCCTCCTTCCTTTTCCTCCTTCTCTTCCTCCTCCTCCTCCTCACCTTCTTTTCTTCTTCTTCTTCTTCTTCTTC